AAACAAATATGGGGTTGCTCCCCGGACGCGGTAAAACAAAATACGTCATGTGGACCTATTATTCTCTTAGTGGTTTTTAAATTTCAAACTGAATCGACAAAATAATAAAAAAGTGTTTCAAAATATAATAAAATAAATTAAAAAAAAACAAATAAATATAAATGATGGCGAAGCTACAGTGGCCGGTGATGTGTTAGAACAAAAACATGCAGAATTTGCCAAAAATAAGAACTGAGGCACAGTACAAGGTATGTAAAGCGCTGAGAAAATATTTAAAAAAAAAACAATGCTCTATGGTTCAAACTACAAGAAGCTCATTTAAGAAAACTACATTAAGCTTGAAAATTGCTACTTTACATGATATATAGCATATAATAAGGGTGTGTATTAATAAAACTAGCCACATTGTATATTTCTTTTTATTAAAAACGCCATTATCATCAATATTAGGATTTATGAAGTTCCGTTTAACGATTACAATTACATTTTATGAGTAGTTACGTCAAGTGTTTATTTTTAAAATTATATAAAAGGAAAAGAATGTATTTTATATAATATAATACACAATATGCAGTAGGATATAAACATGTCATTACATGATTTTGCAGCCCATTACTTTGTGATGTTAGTTGTTACACAATTCAAATATTAAAATTTTAGGGATCTTAAAATAATTCACTTTATTGGTTTAATTCTTCGAAAATTCCGCTACGAATGGAAGACAAAGTATAAAATACACGTTTCTGAACGCAATTATCAATATAATGGACTGCATTACATAACATGTGCCAATTATCAACAAAAACAAATCGAAGGACGTTAATTTAATAATTTAAGAAGAAAAAAATAAAATTTCAATACAACAACCAATAAATTAATTTAGATTCCTTATAAAATAGGTAAAATAGCCAACAAGAAGTATTAGAACACATTGAATTAAGGCTCTTCGCCTCACGTGTGGTATGAAACGAATACCTACCATGACACGATAGAAAGATTAAAAAAAAACTTAAACAGGTCACAGAAACAGTCTTAAACTTGCTAAGATCCTAACTAATGTAGTTTCGACAGGGATGTGTTCTGCTCCTTAGAACACGGTGTAGTTATCGCCCATTAAAACTCATAAAGACCGTAACGGCCTTTTGAGATCCCATAAAACTTAGCAGCTACGAAATTAATTTAAAGATCCAAAAATCACCAACAAAATTTTGATATAATACCGAAACAGTACGCTTTTGACTTTACGACTTTTTTCGTTATATAAAATTACTAAGTAGTTAATTTAGTAAATAATTGTACAATTTTTAATCTAGAGAATACGCCTAATAGTGTACAATTTAAATGGGGACTTAGTCTAATCAGTCTATAGCGTTTATTACTTTTGGCAAAACGATGTTTGATTAGAAAAAACAATTTAACATCATAAGATCTCTAGCTACAAAGAAATAAGCCAAATTATTACCGTACTGCCACTCATAGCAGCACATCCCTGTAATCGTAAATTAAACGTAGATGCTATTATCTATGAATTCAGATAAATCTTACGCCTAAATAGTCAACTAACTTAATTCCCAAACCCAAATTAACAGTTAAAACTATGATCTAAATTAAAAAAAAAAACAACAACCCTACGTCTTACAAAATTTGCAATTGATTGCAATAAACTTAACATTCTCTTCAAGCACGGAATGTTGCGAAATATTTGAAAAAATTTTGATTCCTTTTAAAAAAATTTCCTTTAGCTTAAGAATTTTTCTAACTCGAACGACGTTCCGTTTTAGCACCAAATCACTAGTCTTTCCAATTAGTTAAAAGTATAATAATATAAAGCTTATCAACTAACTAAACAAACGAGTAATAGCTAAGCGTTTATGCATCTAATAATAACAACATAAATCTTATAACACATAGCATTAAATTTTATTTTAGGAAGCCTCTCATTAAAAGTATATTAGCATTGATCCGTTACCTTCTAGGTAAAGTGTTTCGAACACTACTTCTAAATTTTTAGAAGATTACGCAACATATGTCTTTTTTGAATAAAAACACATAATCATTATAATGTAAAGCAGGCACTAATAATTACTTAAAGTGTATATCGTTACAATAAATTATGTTTTACATTTACACTTATATAAGAATTCCTTAACGCTATAAAAGGAAAAATAACAATAGTTTTACCGACAATTACGAGTCGTGTGAAATATAGTGATGTGTTAATTGAACTATAATTGTTGAGTATAGTCGTATAACGAAAACATATAAATATATGTATATATATAAATAACCAAACCTATAGGTACATGGATTAACGTTAACGCGAAAGTCTAGACCCAGAAGAAAATTTAAAAACAATTTTCGGTAGCGGAGCAATTGAAAATATTCTGTTCCCCGTTGGAAAAAATTACAATCGAAAAGGACTGCGAATAAAGTGTAAATCCAATGCAAAATATTTTGGCGGAATTTAACATCTAGATATTATATATTATTACTTGAGAGGTTTCTGAACCTAGACTATTATATAAAATGCGTTCAATGCTTATTTTGCAATATTGATAAGACTATGTATGGCAAGCAAAACGTAATAAATGAAATATATCCACTGTTCAAATTTAGGAACATTTAACACAGAGTTATTTATTACAGTTTAATAGTATTATCAACTAGATGTAATTATTTTTATTATTAGTGCGGTATTTAATTACAGTTTTATAACGAAACAGCAACAAATTTGTATGTCAATATACAAAAAAGAGTACAAAGTAAAATAATTTAAAATATAGAAACGTGAAAAGAAATGTCAACGAACAAAAAATAATAATAAAAATATTAGAAACGAACACAAGACAGCGATAAAACGTACGCTTGAAAAGTAACTTAACATATTATTTACTACACATATTAAAATATGTAAAAAATAGCCATATTTCATTCGCTTAAATGGCACCTTGCGATTCACTTAGCTAAGTAATGCTTAATGTTTTGAATAACATTAAAAATTGTAAGAAAGATAGCAAACGACAAAAATGAGCCGACTAGAATGTGAAGCCATAAATAAAGAAAATTGGAAGAGTTGTCGACTTTGAAAAAAAAATTGAAATTCTGTATTATTATGTGATGTGTGATGTAATGATGAAGTTTTACTTTCGGTTTAAAATCGGTTTATCGGTGGTGTGTGCTGAATGTCAGTGCCCCTGCGGATTAGGTACATTAAAAGTAAAATTTGTTAATGTTTGTTCTATTGGTGCTATTTTTTTCTCGGATTGTTTCAGTCTTCTAATAAAAAAAAAACAATAAGAAATCACCTAAATAAAATAAACAATTTGAAAGCCTCATTAGCCAATTATATATCTGTGTATATAATTTTTATTTACTTTAAATAGATTTTTAGTAATCTCGTATAAATATCTAAGTGTGAGATCATGAAGGTAAAATACAGAATAAATAAAATTGCGAAACTTCGAAAATGAACACAATGTTTCAAACAATATGCCTCTTTTGTTTCTAATAAGTAATAACGAACACTGTTTCCTTTTTTTTTATAAATTTAAGCCTAATATATAAATTTACAGCACCAAGATTTTTCTCTTTTCTCAAAATATTTTTTTATCTTTGCCTTATTGTCACACATTAACATAGTGTAAAAATCAGGAATATTTCGCATACCGCAGTATTGCGCCTTGCGGGCGTGAAAGTGGCACGATACTTTCTATAACATTTCTCTTTCTCATAATTAAAAATAAAAATTCGTCCAACTTCACCCTTTGTTCCAATGATTGGAATGTAAGTATTTTTAAAATTGTGATGATTCGTAAGACAACTGCCATGCAGCCAATCGGAAAACAAGATCGACTTTTAAAAGTTCAAAGATAAAAAACATTAAAAATAAAAATAAACTATAAGCGTGGAGAGCCTCCTCCTTAAGTCAACCGTAATAAAAGGCCATCTCTACGACCGAGATAAAAAATATAAATCGTCTATAATATATTAATAATGTTCTAATATGTAAAATAAAGAATTGCTCAGAAAGGGGGTGCGATGGCGGGGATGCGCGCGGATTAAACGTTGAACTGGTCTTTGAACTTGTAGAAGTCGAGGTTGTGCGGGTGCGGGAGTGGGTGCGGAAGCGGCGCTAGCTTAGCGTCGGCCGTGGTGAGGTTCTGCGGCGCGGTCTGCGGCGGCGGGCCGCGCTGGCGCCGGTGGTAGATGCTCTTATGGTTGTTGAGCGAGTTGAGCGTGCGGAACACCTTGTGGCACAGGCTGCAGCGCGCCGAGTGCAGCGGTTGCAGGTGCTGCTGCTCCGTGTGCCGCTTGAGCGTCAGCCGGGTCGACAGCAGCTTGCCGCACACCTCGCAGCGGTGGCCCGCACCCAATGGCCCCACTGCGCCACACATAACAACCAACATTAGCGCATTAGTCAACAGAGACCCCCACGGTAAGGGCATACCAACACCACTGCGACCGCTCGCATCCAACGGGTCCCATTTTCAAGGAACCAATTGGCACAGTTTAGTGCCACGCGAAAATTATATTTTTTTTGAATGTGGCAATTTTGCGAACCTGGGTTGTAGAGGCAATTTAACGTGATTCGAATGTCGAATTTGACTAATGCGCTCATTTTTTAATTTCGTTTAAAAAATTAACGTTGGTGGTTATGCGTGTACCGATCACAGATGTTCCAATTGGTTCCAGAGGCGAGCGTATAAGCGAAGCTGAGCCGGCGCCTTGTGAGATAGGTGCCGCAACCGCTGCGCTTATACGAAACTACGGCGTTTTAGTAACGATTAGGAATAGATTATATACGATAGATTCTGGCTATGTGCATGCAAAGTACACGTAAAACTATGCTATGTACAAATGTTAGGAACATATCGCTTTACAAATCTGTTTTCATAAACTTAACAAATTTCTAAGGGCAAGACTATGGCGTTTTAGGTGGAAAAGGATGGCAGCTTTAGTTCTTCGAATGGCAACGTATTCGGCGACGGATTTGACGGGCGTCAATTGACTGGGTAGAAGGGGCCCTGGGCGGGCGTGGTGGGCGGTTGCTGCTTTCGGTGGTAGATCGACTTGTGGTTTCTGAGGCTATTCAGGCTGGAGTATACCCGCCGGCAAATATTACAGACGGGCTCCCTCGAGGGTCTCATGTGAACGTTCTGAATATGCCGTTTGAGCCGCGTCAGGGAAGACAAGCTCTTGTTACACGGCTCGCATCTGTAATCTTCCTGGGGGGTGCGGGCGCCACCTGGTCACAACACAAGCAGTTAGCCCCTTGGAAGCTTCGGAACGCACTTTTAATGCACTTTCTTTATCGTAGCCTCTCAATTATTACTGTTTTTTTTTAAGCACCGCCACCCCCCTTTACAGTTTGATGATAGCCATCCGTCGCGCCGTATATAGCGAAGCGATATTAGTAACGCATACATGTTTTGTATCCTAGCTCGACCTACATACGGCTTAGTTAAGCTCAGCGGTGTTTTAATGATGAATTAAATCAGCTGTTTTCATAACAATCCGCGCGACGCGGAGTCGGCGATTCCGAGTCTCGAGTTTCTCGAACAAAAGCGTTAGTATTCTTCAATGAAACTGAATGTCTGTTTTTTTTTTTGTAATATAATTCGACACCGAGTGACCATTACTAAAATTCCATTGTCCAATCTTGGATGTCCCGAAGTTATATTTCCCAAGACAATTATGATTAAGGGTAATATGAAACTGTTTTTAGAAACATGAATGACTCATGGGATCCGTTGTGCGAAAAATGTAAATAATTCATAATCGGAAATAAGCTAACTCGATTCTTGTTGGTGAATTTTTCACATGCTACTATCGAAATCGTCTTCTCGCATTTTTTTTCTCTCTAGTACTTTGCAGCCAATTGAACAGTATACAAGTGCATTTGCTGTTTTTGTTTTGTAAAAAAAAAAGTAATTTCAAATCATTTACACGGTATCATGAAACAAATGCAAACAGAAATAAAAATGAAACTTAAAATTGGAAACACGGGAACGGGGGTTGTCCTAACTTATTTACTTTAAGACACATCTATAAAACAAGCTAACATATTATTTTCTTGTATAGTATACATTAAACTAGTTTACAATACAAACATGCACGCCACGTTGAGTTTTGGTTCAATGATCAATTCTAATTTTGTAAAACTTAGAAACGTCACGAGTCTGCTAAATGAAAACAGATAGTACCTAACACGCGAACATCGAACCAAAACACAAAAAAGCTAACATTATAAATACTTAATACAGAACACAGAGCACAAAATGAAGACATATATACGTATAGGGTTAATAGGATGTATATATAAATAATAAATAGATTAATATATATATATATATAGGTCACGTGATAATTGCCTCATACATTTAAAAAAAAATATAAAACCTAATAATGATATATAAACCTAATAATGACAGAGCAGAGAGGAAGCGGTGATGGTGGCATACGACAGACAGTGCATTAAAAATATCGTTTGTTTCAATATATGTAGGTAATGCATAAAATAAATTTGCTGCTAGACAAGCCGCAACTCACCTTGGGATGTGCCTGCCATTCCATCCGGAGCCAGTGGACTCGGTAGACCTGGAAAAATGCACAGTTTTTATGGTATCTCGAAAGGAAAACAAAATTATAGTACCTAATATTTAATCACGCAAACTAATTTGCTTACCGTAATAACTTGATTAAGTTAATTCGTATTAATTTACCAACATAATTGTCTTGTTAACAAAATATAATCCTTTACCTGCCAAAGATGAGTGTTCAGTTAGAGCTGCCATGGTGAAGTTGTAAGTGTTAGATGGAGCGAATAGTTTCGTGTCAGCGGGTGGTATGAACGGCGAAGGTGGTAGCTGTGGCGGTGGCGTACGGTCATCAGCTTCGGCAGAACTGCCACGTGACGGTGGGCCTCCTCCCTGAGACAGAAGATAATTTGCCCTTCGGTACTTGCGCTTCTATTGTATATCGTGCCTTAGAATCTATACATATAAGTAAAATTGATGTGTTCTACTGTAATATGGAAGTAATTACCATATATTAAGCTCGGGGAGTTTGTGCAGAAACAGAAACAGAATTTTTTTATTCAATATAAATTATAAATAATAAGGTACATAAGGGTAATATCACCTCAAGCTTCGCCGCCCTATAAAACCCAAAACATAGTGCAAAATAAAATAAAATTGAAATATTTTTATTGAATTATCACTATTTTGTATATATACAAACAAGGAGTGTAATGAAATCTACATTGGCTTGAGCGTTCGGCTTGCACCGAACGCTCATGCCGATCGTGACTTTAGCTCGTTCGTGCCGAGCTCTCGCTTCGATCGTGCTCGGTTTGGCTGGAGCGTAACGGGACAATGAGTCATAATTTTTCGTGCATGCAGTCGGCGTTCATCGATTTATTAAACGTTGTCACGTCAAAATAGCAAACAAACTTTGCCAATAATTAGGAAAACTTCGAAAAATCTACTTAAAAAAACATACTACACTACACCGTACTAAAGTCGACCAAAATATTTACTATAATGTAAACTGTCAAACTGTCATGACTGTCACGTAACTGTCAAAATGGCGTCAATAAAGCATCGCCCTTTTGACCCTTTATTATTTGATTGAATAATGGAGAGCTATCGTATCACAAAGCACGCAACGCTTAGTTTTGAGTTACAAGAAAGTGACCATATAAACCGGGCGACCATATTACCCTCACGTACTATAGTTATTAAGTCACTTTTTTAATTTACCACTGGTTCGGAAAAAAACGTCTGTCCTGGGAAGAACAAGCAAGAAACCAAGTGGGATTATTTTTTTTAAATATCAGCTTACAATCATGCTTTAAATATCAGCTTACAATCACAATTAATAGTGTGTGCTATTAAGGCGAGAATGACTATTTTTAAATAATTTGTCTTATTGTCTGTCCATATAAGTTTTCGGAATAGCTGGACCGATCACTATTTTTAACTGCTAATATAAATGGCTATTGGTGATAATACTATCTTATCTTTTATCAATCATCTTCATAATTGATTGATGATACCTAACATAAACTTTAAGAAATCTATAGAAAAATCTTACAAAACCTAGTTTACAATTATACACAAAAACGTTTTACACTTTATCTTCTATCTCTTATTTTGATGAGTTATCGATTTTTTTTACGTAAACATCGATTTTACAATAAAACTATAAGCGTTAAAAGATAAGTTGAAAAGACCTTTTTGCTCGATTTTAATGGATCTTCAATATTTATTTTATATTAGCTGGTACTCAGAGCGTTGCTGCCGAAGAAGAAATAATTGTGGAAATATCGTTTTAAATTTGAAAGAGTTATATTGTTTAATTTGATAGTACAATAAATGAAGTTGAATGTTAAAAAACTTTCAGATATATTTAGGTCGTTAAGAAACGCGCGCTACCTACTACCTAATATTACTATAACCTTCGCGCAAGTGCCAGGAATATGTGCGCTTTTTTGTCACCATATCCTATTACAAAAAGAACAATTTGACATAGTTTTACCGCAATCCGATGAACGGTATAGCAGTGCATAAAATACTAACAAACAAACAATAATTTTTATATATTTTCTCCTGTCGCACATAGTTTTCGTGGTAATACTAAAAACCATATAAGATGGTGTTTCCATAATTGTAACATGTATTTGCCGATAAATGTTATCACACTATTATACCTATATCTGAAGATTTTTGTTTAAGTTCTACGGCGGAAGTCCAAAAATATATTTAAAGAAACGACTTCAAAAAGAGAGGCGCAATTCGTCTGTTAAAATGTTTTTTTTTTCTATATGGTTACCGAATGGCGGTGACATAAGCAAATCCAACATACATCATGCATTGCGGGCCATTGGTGTCGTAAGAAAATGCGTAAACAACATGTTTCAAAAAATCTTAAGGCTTCTTATAAATGGTGGAACCATCTGTCTTACACCGAGCGTACTATTATTTATTCTGTGACCGAGCGTAAAATACTCAAATCGGCGTTGAGAAACAGCGTCAAAGTTCCGCAACTGAATCCGTCTACTAAACGTGACAATTACAACCCCAGAAATCGTAATGTCGTATTGTAACAATTACCATTGCTGCTTTTATTCCTCGCTGCACGAGACCCCAAAAACACAACCACCGTAATACGCGACGCACGCGACGTTGACAAACTTGCCAAGCAATGTAATGTTAAACGTTAGATATCATTGTGCATTGCGTATGTTTATAATACGGCTGCAGGCATCGGTAATTTCTATTGTCTGATTATTAATATTTCTGTGATAACAGAAAACCTCTACTATGGAAGATGCTCATGTCCGGAGGACTTTTAGGTGCTGATCGCAGAGCACGTGAGAAAGAGAAACTGTTTCAGTTTTGTTCAGCTGTGTCGCCGGAGATCGAATTCTACGCGCGTAATATGCAACTAAAGATAAGCGCCTAGCTTTCGAGTTGCCATGCCTAAATTTGAATATTGATTGACCGAAAGGTTTTTATACACCCATTTGATTGGCAGTAGGAATTAAAACGAAAGTTACCGTTAAAAAGTTTTCGTTAAATAAAACTCGGCAAATTCTCATTTAAACGTAATAAATGAATTATGAAACAAACTTCGGCCTACTCAAATAGAAGTAAGTAATCCAATCAAAGTTTGAAATTACGCATTTTTATTCACTTTTACGTTTCTATTATAGACGGGTTTAGTATTGATGTAAGTTTCATTATGAAGTTTTCGGCACGTACTCTGCAGGCACGTGGTTCACCACGTGCACATTTGAAGTTGAAATAGACAATTTTATTGGAGACGGCGGGGATCAACGCGGGGAGTGTTTATGAGCTCTAAAGTGCAGCGGTTTAAGAATATCCACAACCTCATATCATCCCGTGGGTGTCGTAAGAGGCGACAGAGGGAGGAAAAAAATCAGGAGATGGGCAGCAGCATTTTTCTAATAACGACTAAGAACTGCGATTGCCAACCCGCTTGCCAAGCGTGGCAACTATGGCAAATATACCTCATATGAGGCAATCTACGGGGAGGCCTATGTTCACACGGTTTACGAGTATGAGCGAGGTATGTATGACATGACATGATGTGAAATGAGATGAGATGATAATATAATGTATTAGTATCGCCTGTGTGTTGAAATTACGTTACTTCTTATTAGATTTTAGTTCTAATTGGCACAATTTTGTGAAAACATAAACAGTGCTAAGTTGACTTATATAAGTATTTTACTAAATCATTGGCTTAATGTGTACATAGGAATATTATATCAATGGATAAGTACGTATTTGTTTGCATTAACTTTTATATTTTTTTTCGTTTAGGCAAGGTAAAGGCATACTAAATCACTGGCTATTGGCATAAATACCAATTTGTTTGCATTAATTTTATTTTATTTTTCGTGCAAGGTAAAGGTAATCTACCTCATATTATATCCATTAACGTGAACAAAACGCTTTCAATTAGTTAAAGCGTTTTAATGAAGGAACACGCATGTTCATTTTATTTTACTTGCCTTAACGGCAACATACACACATAATTTAAACTTTTCGAATGATGTAAGTTTAATTCCACTTATTTTATGATAAATACTAAAAAACATACGACAATTTGCGATGTTTAAGTATGAATATATTTAATTCCAGGACATGTGAAGTAGGACATGCGTTTGTAGAGTAGACAGTACAGTACAGTAGAAATAAAGAGTCCTGTGCTTAGCTTATTTTTTGTATAATTATACGAATGATATTTATTTTATTCGGCTATTATGTTCTGACAGGGTGCCGTTAAAGAGCTTCGGTGATCTATGCATTTAAAGAGGTTTTCAAGCTACTGAACTGGAAAAGATACGTATAGTGTACATCCCTCACCTTCAATTTGTTGACTATATAGTCTTTATGGTAGAATCACTGAAGGATTTCAGCACTATGCACTCGATGATGTAGACGTTGAATATGTTTCCCAACGGGTAGGTTTTAAGATAAACGTGGTAGTTGTTGAGACCGCTAAGCTAGAAGTTGTTGACGTGTATGTTTGGGACAAAATGTTAGACTAGGTAAGTCCAATTTCAACCGAAAGACTGGGCAGTGTTTGGGAAATTACGATACATCTTCTCGTCATGTATACCTCAAAACTTGATTGTACAACCAGTACGTGTTGCCAGTGATGACATACGGATCTGAGACGTGGTACTTCACTGCTGGCCGTATGAGGAAGCTAAAGGTCGCTCAGCGCGAGCTAAGGGAAGGGCTATGCTCGAGTTTTCTTTGCGTGGTAGACTTAGAAATGAGGATATATATGCTTATCAAGAATAACAATCGTAATAAACAAATATATGACTGGGGTCTGGGCTAAGCTTCGGTAAGGCTGAACCATAGAAATCGTAATTACTATTTCTGTGGGCTGAACCGATTGTTGGAGGAAAGTTCACGAAAAGACAGAGAGCAGTGCAAGGAGTGAGCTGGGTTCCAGGCTATATTTTATCAGAAAACCTTGGATTGTTTGAAGAAAAAAAAAAGAAATATTGGTAAAACTATCTTAAATCAATAGATTTACTATCTTAAATCATTAGACAGGCGAAACCGGGGCAGGTTGCTAGTTTTCAATAAATTGGTGTTAGATGACACACACGGTCAGTTCAACTGATCAGTTCAAACTAGGACTGTTGATATTTTTTAAAATATCGGATTTTCGATAAATCTGCTGGTATATAATATATAGTATATAAGCTGGTAGGCGTAGTGTAGCGCAACCTCCCATTAGATGGAGTGACGACCTGACAAGAGATGCAGGAAGTCGATGGATGCAGGTAGCTTAGGGCTATGCTTTGTGGCATTCCTTGGGGGAGGCCTATGTTCAACAGTGGACTTGTTTGTGAAGGGCTGTAATGATGATGATGATGAAACCGATTTTGATGAAATTTTTTGTGTATTTGAATGGGTCTCTAGATGGTTTATATTCACATTTGGACCCGGTAGGTGGCATTATTGTCGAGATCCAAAAATCAACCGTGCGAAGCAGGGGCGTATCGCTAGTATTAAAAAAATAAAAAACTAATAATCCTAATTTAAAAAAAGAACACTGGTAACGCTATTAACATTACTAACACTCCACTACAGTAGTCGGATGGCAGATTCGAACCCACGCCTCTCTGAGTTTGTAGTCCGCACTCCACCACTAGGTTACTGTCGCTTCTTTGAAATTAAAATAGAATTTTTTTGACATTAGCTAGTTTATTTTTCGCACGGCGAAAGAAGTATAAGTCGAAACATCATTTCAGCACCTCATGGTATCTAATAATAACATAATGCCAGTTGATAATGGCGCGTAATATGTCGTATAACAATCGTTGCTGTCATCAGACACTCGCCCAGTTCCGGGTACGGTATCTAGTTCGCTAGACCTCTTTCTAATACCTGGTAACGTCAATGTCAAGGTAATAAGCCGTCGACAGGCGTGTTATTGTTTTGACAGGTTGCGTTTCAAATGTTTCGGCTGCACACTACGTGTGGGCTAAATCAATGGTAAGTAATTTTCTTTCCGATTTTTTAGTTATGTAACGATAATCACTTAGCGGTTACGATTACGATTTTTCTGTTTTTATATGAAATCGATGAATCATCCTGTAAAGGCTGTGCGAGAATATGGATTAGTGCGTAATAATCCATGTCTTTTTGCCATCATCACAAACCTCGTTAGGGTTTTGACGTTAACAAATACAATCTATATAAATTGAACTAAACCGTGTATTCGCGATGTAAGAATACCTATCCACTAGGAGGAAGAGGTAAATGGAAACACGAAACTGGCAGCAGCATCTTCCTGATGGTGTCACTAAGATCGGTTTGTTTCCCTTCGTCGCCTCATACGACACCTTTGGGGAGATATATTTGTGGTTTTATTACAAAACTTGGTTTATTGATATTTGGTAGATAGATAAATAGTTTGGCTCGAAAGAAGTCTCTTACGAGCGATGTCAGTGTATGTGAAATTTGAGATTTGCTGTCAAATAATGTCGTACGTTTTAGTTTGCATAATTTCCACGGGATTTTGAATCAGACTTTAGCTTAAACTTGAAAATAATTATAAACTACTTTGTAATAAGACGAATAAGGTTTAAATTACTTTTTGAGGCGCCACAATGACTGTATCGACATTTATAAAGACTTTTCATATCTTAAATCAAACACAAAATTAGACAGGTTTCTTTACACCTTCCCTTAGCCTTCGCCTCCTTGATACGCCAACATCGATAATTGTTAATAATAATAACAGATCACAGATGCTTTGCTCGTTATATATCCGGTGAAATGTTTTTTTTCAAAAGGAGTGACACATAATAAGTTAGTGTTGTTCCGTTCAATGTCCTACATTGTAATTATTTTATTACGTTAAATCTCTCAATTTTATAGAAATGGACACGTGGAGATACTATTTAAGGCAGGACCTTTTGCCGCCCAGAAGTCCGTAGGTAGGAGTGGTAGGTACCACTCTTATAAACTACGTAATATACTATAATTACGTACTACGCGAGGGTAATATGGTCATCCGGTTAATATGGTCACATTCTTATAACTCAAAAACTACCGCCTTGTTCGCATAGATGGCTGTGATATGATAGCTCTTCGTCAGTCAATCAAATAACAAATAGGTCAAAACTCTCGACGCCATTATATGACAGTCGACATTATAGTAAATATTTCAGTCGATTTTAGTATTGCGTAGTGTACTTAGTTTTTTTACGTTGATTTTTCGAAGCGTTCCTAATTATTGCTGAAGCTGGTTTACTGTTTTTTTTTTAAATATATTAGTTATAGTATGCGACTTTGCGTCTTTGTCTCTGTCCTCCTCATAGTTTTGGTTTAATAAGGCGGCAAAGCTTCAGGTGACTATATTACCCTCACGTAGCTTATTCCTGCCGGCAAATTGCAGTGCGCGCTTTGCTGTGTTCCGATCTGAAGGGTACAGAGAGCCAGTATAATTAAAGGCTGTGAGGCATTCCATCTTCGTCCTCGGAGGTGACAAAGCATCTGCAGCTTTCTTTATTTAAAGTCGATTGTGGGTATCCATGGGCTGCAATATCCAGTTACCATCAGTGGACTTTAAGGTCGTTTGTCACTTCAATTCTATATTAAAAAACCTTCAAGAAGTTTTATTTACACATTGCACATGGTTACTGATAGGCAGGGCGTGCCGCAGCAGCCGAACGCTTCGCCACTGCGTCACAAAATCGTCTTTATTAGTTAGTTAAAAATAGTTATTATACACATATATAGTGACATAGCCGAGGAATTGAATATTGACCACAAAACAGTTTTGACTAATCTGATAAAGTCTGGCTATACAAAAACGCTCGATATTTGATTACCATACGAGCTCACTGAAATAAACGTAATGAATCGTGTACTTATTTACGATTCTCAATTGAAACGAAATGAAACCGAACCATTTTTAAAAAAAAATTATCACTGGTGATGAAAAGATCACCTACGACAAGAATGTACGAAAAAATCATGGTCAAAAGGTAGTCAAGCTCCACAGACCTTAGCGAAACCCGGATTAACACGCAATAAGGTGATACTGTGTTATGGCGGTATTGCAAGAGCATCGTTTATTATGAGCTATTACCGCTGGACAAAAAGATCGCTTCGGATCTCTACTGCCAACAACTAATGAGATTCAAGCATAAATTGAGAAAAAACGGCCGGAATCGTTCAACAGAAAAGGACATCAAGAGAGGACTGTCAAAATTACTTCTCGCATTTTTTAAAATCTAAAAATCCCAAGATTTCTACAGCAACAGGATTATGTCAATATTTACAAGATGGCAACAAGTTATTGAAGTAAGTGGCACATATTTACTTTACTTAAATGTAAATAAACTTAAAAAAATAACTTGAATTTGTATATAAATTTTTTAACTTAACAATATAAAAAAACTATAATAAAGAAAAACTAAAACTAATAATTTTAATTGTCCTACAGTTCTACTCCTCGTGGTATTGTACCAAGAACGCTGGCTGTTTCTTCGCTGAATAGCTATACTTAACCCTTGAGCGAGAAAAGAAAAAATAAAATAAAAAAAACGAAGAAACTTTTTTCCCGACCTTATATGTTATTTTAAAATCAATAGAACCATATAATGTACTTTTATACTTAACCTTACCCTTGGCAAATGTGCGTGTGTGCGGAAATATTTAAACCTCATTGCGTTATATATTTTTTAATAAAAAAAATCAGTAAAAGCTATTTTAGAGCTTTTTAACACCTCATTTGAACACTTCAGACTGGGATTTGACTTTTGTTTGCTAAAAATCTGCCCCCTAAAACCGGCCGCCAGGGGGTTGCACTGTACTTCTTTAAGTACAGTTGCGTAAATAAGGTGGGCCACCTTAATACGTACTGAAACAGGTGAAATAAGAAAATATGTACTCACCATTGATCTGTGATGAGAATGCGGCGGCGTGTCATCGATACTCCTATCGATGTCCGCGTTCGAGCTGCATATCATATCCACCGGCTCATTCTTCACCTCCTCCAGCCTCGGGGACGGTGATGAGCTGCAGTTGGAGATCCCGTTCCCGTTCCCTTGCTCGTGCGCCCTGGCGTTGTTCACCAGCGAGTGGTTCTTGGTGGAGAAGTCGGCCGCGTGGATCTGGGGCTGGTCGTTGTTGTTGTCGTGGCGTGTGCGCTTGATGACGTCGGGAGAGTTGTCGGCCGAGCGGCTCATGCGCCGCGGGGGCAGCGGCATGCGGCGCATCATCTGCTGCACGGAGGGTGGCGGGTGGGACAGCAGCGCCTCCTCCAGCTTGTCGCTGTAGCTGGGCGTGTGCGGGGTGTGCGGCGTGTGTGGCGTGTGCGGGGTGTGCGGTGTGTGCACGGTGTGCGGGGGTGTGTGCGGCGACGCGGCGGCCGCGGCCGCGGCGCGCGTCAGGTTTTGGAGAAGTGGCTGTAGAAGACATGTTTTAGTTAGATTTTGGTGTTTAACTACTCAACCTGTAACTAGATGTCGTTGTACTAAAATATTTAATAACTGAATCGCGATGTTAAGATTATTTGTAATAATATAAGGTGCAGTGATTTTCTAGTGTAGTGAAAGTACATTAGACTTCCTTAACTAATTTTTACGTGGTGCTGAGCTCACAAAGCACCGATTATTTCAACTTCGTACCTTAGCCTTGGTGATTAGCGAAAGTTCGTGAGGAAACGAAGATTTAGGCTTTAGGATGTTTTTTTTACATTGCAGTCTATTAGACATGTGTCATTAGTGACCCAATCATTCTGGTACATTTCATCACGCGTACTGGTACATTCGGATCGATCATTCAAATGGATCATTTCAGGATCCAGTATTCTGTGAGATCCATTGGGAACCGAAAATTTTTACATTTATTTGCTACAAAATTAAACATTTACCTATCTCATACTTATATAAGGTGGTTAAAAATTATCATTAAATAAATCATTTATCATGAAATCTTTTAAAGTGCTATTTTTAGTAAACTTTACGAAATGATATTTTTAACAAATAAATATAATAAAATGTAAAATAATTTTTAATTTAGGTAACAATATTATAATACAAAAACCCTTAAATAATAAATACTCCTGATACTCTGCAGTCTGCATTGTCAATTCAATTCGCCTGTTTATTCAGATCATTCGGGATTCGGTCGGTTTGCAGCTCATTCACAATTCAAACAAATCGCGGGTTAAAAAAGTACCGTCAGTTGTTTGTAATTGGTTGTACTGGTTCATTCAAAAACAAATGAATGAACCAATAATACTTTTAAGTGTACCAGCTCAAACGAACGAATCATGCATAATTGACACATGTCTACAGTCTATAAAAAAGACTAACTGACGTTGGTAGTTTCCTACGAATCCTACTTTAAAAAGTTAGTTTTATAAGTTTTCTAGAGACCTACCAATAATAAATTAATACTACTACTGCATTATTACTTATTAGTGTTTCTATTAGATAACAAACTAACAAATATTTCACCTCTTTTTAAAAGGAACCCACGCTATGTGAAAGAAGGATCATAGGTTATCAATTCCCAAAATAAAACACCAAAAAAATCAAAATTTGAAAAAAGAATCATGATAAGTTTAGCAACTATATCCTGATTTAATAATGCTTAATTATAATATAAATATTCAATTCCTTTATTCGCATAAATAAATTTACCTACTTGAACCTGAAGACAATTTATAGCAGTGATAATTGATAATTCACTTGAGATTCTGTGCATGTGTTATAATTAGAATCAATTTATATAAAATCTTCAATAAACTTGGGGGCAAAATTTTAAATTTTCATATAATAAAAGTAGTGTGAATTGCAAAATATGCATACTTTTACTAAGGAAATTCCTCCTCATAGGCTTAGTGATTATATTCTCTTTGGTCAGAGCATAAAGTAATGTCCTCTATGTATCTTATGTGTATCTGTAGACCATACAAATACTCGCGCCGTGCGGGATTCGAACCCGCCTAACTCTTGGCTAAGTCACTGCACGGAACCGTCAATAGCCCGTTTAGTTACACATAAAATTGCCAGTACATAAGTACAGTAAAGCTTATGAAAAAAGTGTGTTCATATAAAAAACTGTCCTTACCCCCTGGGCATCATCATTTTGTGTGAGGCCGGATACGCGCAGAACTTCCGCGGTCTTGAGAAACGACGACAGGCTCCGCTGGTGCACGTTGACTTCGCCGTGGTAGATAAACTCTACCAGCGCGTTTAGGTCGGTAAAGGCCACATCTTGCAGCACGATTACTGGGTGCTTGCATGGCGTTGACTGTGAAAGAAGTAGTTGGGTTTAAGTAACGAAATGCTTTCCTAATTTTTTGTTGAGCTAGCACGCAGCAGTGGACGAAAGTTACGAATATTTAAAAAGTTGGTTCTGTCACTCGGTTTTTATCATGATTACACAATGTAGATATTCACAAAGCCTTTTATAAGTGCTCCGTTTTTTAAAATGTGTGTTATACAGGTTTATGTGTATGAATTTGTCCACGATGTTTAGGATACATAGAAGTTAATTTAAGGCAGCAGCTTTCTTTGTACTGAAAATATTTATATTGTTTGTTACTATTCAATCAAGTTTGACACGTGGACCGTCTCGACACTTGACGAAAGTAAAATAATCATATCCTACAATTTAATGATACACGTTTAAGCTGTTGCTGTATTAAATAAATAAATAAAATCCTATCCGTCAGCGTATTTCGATCCCTTAATTTATTAACAGAAGGTTTGTTTTTATAGATAACATATCATAAAAAAGTATTTTTATGAGGTTAGCTATTGTATTTTTTCAATATTTTATAACATTAAATAAAGGTACTTAAATGCTATAGAGTGACTTCTAAAAAAAGAAATCACTTTAAATAATTTTTAAACATGGTTATTTTTCAGCAGCTGCAATGAAATGTTAATTGTTATACCAAAATCTTTGTTTTTTTAAAAAAAAATAATAATAGCAATAGTTTTGCATTTGTACAGCTTGGAGCACATTCTGGTTATGTCATTCCGCGAAATCTCGCTAGAACTCGAAAATGGTTCGACTAATATTGATGAATTTTTTTATGTATGTTTAAGTTAGTCCCTGGATGGTTTAGATTTGCAATTGGTCCCGGTAGGTGCCGCTGTTGTGAAGATACAGAAATCACCCGTGCGAAGCCGGAGGCGGATCGCTAATTTTAAATAAAAATTATTTTAAATGTGAATCCGCAACAGCGATCAGGGTGGATAGGTATATTGTCTTTCTACAATATTTAACGCTAATATAAAACATATTTCAATATAAGCACTACGATTTCATTATAAATATCTATCATCGTTTACGATTATAAAAAATCAAGTTGGCTAAACTAATCCGGCAGGATCTCAGACTACCCTCATTTATGTACTTACTTTTAAAAGCTCCCTGAAGTAGGGGCTGCAGGCAGATAAAACCACTCTATGAGCTTTCAAGCTCCTCCCGTCGCAAGCTAACGTTACGTCCACAAAGTCTTCGTCATCCCTGAGGTTCTCGAAGGCGCTGGTGATGCTGCTCTGGTAGTTGTTCCACCGGAGGCAAAAATGTTGCGTGTCCACCATCTTGTTTGTTTGTTTGTGTTTCTTGTACAGATTACGGAGTCATGTGTCTGGGGATGGCGATCTGTGGATAAAATATAGAATTAGTTTGGTAAATGAGTTCAAATTCATCAAAAATTAATTAAATAATTACAGTCTATTAAAATTCTACTACTAAACATAGGCCTCCCGTTTTTTTTTAAATAGAATAAAGGTGACAAACGAACACACTGTCCACCTGATGGCAATTGGATACTGTGGCCTCTCTAGTGTATATACAGTAATCTGTGCTGTGGCCCATAGACATTTTTTGTGCTATATCAATAATATAGCTTCGGCGTGGCCCTACCACGTGAAACGTTCCCTATAGGTTGCATCATTTTTTTAAATTAGGGGATAACAAAAAAGTTACAGTAACTACATATATTAAACGAGTAACATTATCCCAACAGAATCCACTATTCATAATTCATAAACACTCACGCCTGTCACCCAGAGGGGTAGGCAGAGACTACGGACTTTCATTTGACACGATCCTGACATACCTCTTTCACCTCCTTTACATCCATATATCTACGCATACATGCTCGTCGGTTAAGGGTACTTTTAACGTGGTCCATTTTCAAAATATCGCCAATTTGGTCGATAAACTTTTTTCTAGGTCGTCCCTTCCCGACTCTGCCGTTCACATCTGCCATATAAATTTGCTTTGTCACTCTTTCCTCATTCATTCTTTCTACGTGATTAAATCACCGAAGCATTCTTTTCTTAATCCTGGTCACAACATCATCTTGCATACCACATTTATCTCTTATCACGCAATTTCTCACCCTGTCATTCAGATTCAACCCTAACATACTCCTTAAAGACCGCATTTCTACAGCATTTATTCTACTTTCGTGCTTCTTCTGCCACACCCAGCTTTCACTACCATACATTAAAGTAGGGACTAACACAGCATTATGAATTACCATACGTGCCTTTTTTGATACATTCTGGTTCTTCACAATAGAGTGTAGTGCCCCATTCACTCTATTCCCTGCATTTACTCGTCGTTCTATATCCTTATCATATCTACCATCCCTGCTAAATACACATCCCAAATACACAAACTCATCCACTTGCTCAATTAACTCTCCTTCTATTCTTATTTCACATACCCTTTTGCTTTCCTCTCTTTCAAAAACCATCACTTTCGTCTTACTTGCGTTCACTTTCGTTCCCCCTTTCTTTTAATGCCCAGTTCATTAATGTAATCATCATTTGCAACTCAACCGCCGACGACGCAAATATGACTTGATCATCGGCATATAAAAGGCATTTGACGGTTAACTCGCCCATTCTTAACCCACATTCTTCATCTTTCAAAGTTTGCAAACACCTGTCCATAAATAGGTTGAACAGCCAAGGGGAAGCCACACAGCCCTGTCTGACACCTTTTCGGATGCCAAACCAGTCCGAGTAGACCCCATTGATCCTGACACAAGCACTAGAATCCCTATAAAGAGACCTCAATGCCTGTATCAAACCAGCGCTCAACCCATATGAGTTCAGTGTTTGTCATAACACATTCCTGTCCACTCACAGAATCCACTAATTGCGTTAAATTAATGTGTAAGTAAAATAGTTATAATATAGTTAAATAAGTTATATAAATCATAAAATTACATAGAAGGATTTTTGCGTTGGTTTAGCACATAGAATACTATAATACATACATAATAGAACAGGGAAGTGGGCGGAGCCCGTGTAGTCACTAAAATGCCATTAACACGTCAATTCACACGTATAAACGTCAACACGAGACGTGTCTTGATGTTACAATCGTTTCTAAATTTCGCATGCAAATTATTTAGAAAATGCAAATTGCTCTATGGCGTAGTGACATAGCAATGGGTTGTGGCTCTGAGGGCCGCAGGTTCGAATTCCGCACAGAACAATTATTTGTATGTTCTACAAATAATTGTTTCGGCTTTGGTTGTTTGTCCTTGTGACATTTATGTTTTTAAACTGCCTTCAAGATGATACAGATCAGAAAATCTTAGTGTTACATATAAATAAAAATGAAATGTCTGTCTGTAGTATTTATTGACGTACTCAGGGGGTAATTTACATGTTATTAAAGACATGAATAATAAAAATTAAAATTTTTGTCAGAACTGTTGTCTGAATCGATTGTAATGAAATTTTACGCACAGATTTAGATCAATGCTAGGAGGGATTTGGGCTATATTTTAGCCGAAATACTTGAAAATATTAAAAAAAAAACTATAAATTGATTGATTATATCTAATAACGCCGTATTAGTAGGTCTAATCCAGCCATAGTCTGGGCGGGTCGTTAATAAAGTCGTAACGTCGAACGACAATTTAAAAAATCATCAGATTCAGTCTGTTTTGAAGAAATGTGTTGGTGTCGCCACTGGTCTTAATATCCTTAAATAGAAAGTGATCCGTCACTTTATCATGACAATACCTAGTTAGTAATTATCAGAAAAATAGGACATCACAATAACTTGACATGCAATAAACAAGTGTAGGATCGATGTTTTATTTTTATCGGGTTTGACCTGATTATTAATCTGTATTTTATGTTTTTTTTTATTACAACTTATTGTTATAACAATGAATTACAATTAAATATTTTTTATCGCTCGTATAATTAGCTGTCGCAATGAATAATGTCAGTACAGTCTAACGTTTAAACCGTTTGCCGGGTAGGAATATCCACTATCTCATAACCGTTCTGCGTGTGTTTTGAATCTAAATTGCTCAGACCCCCACAATTATTTTAAAGGTAATTGACGGCCACAGCAAAGAGCAATAATAAATATATATGGAAAAATACATAAGGATTAAAAATAATTGTGTACATTTTTTCTCCTGAATTTCTCAAAAGTACTATATTTTAGCAATTTTTTTTTGGAAAAAATGTAATATTTGTTTAAAAAAAGGTAGCAACCCTAATAACACTTTCATGTTATTCTGTCATTTATCTCGTATTATGGAGTGTAGAAGTAAGGAGTAGAGACTGTGTATTAAAAAGTGTCCGTAGAAAACCGTTAAATAAGGGTGGCGCCACTAAGCTACGGGCTAAATTTTAAAGAACGTGGGATAGACGACTTTTTCGAGGTTATATTTACTGAATAAAATTATTTTAGATTTTAGAGCTACTGAGCAGTTTAGCAGCACACTTCAAACATCGACAACTGCTAAGTTCATTTCAGCCCAGTAGCTACCCCAGCGCTGTTGTGGAGAGTTTTTGAACTGTTATTTACTACTTACAGATGGCCACTTTTTCAAATATTCTACCATGGGAGTTGGTACTCCTTACTTCTAAACTCCATAATCTCGTATGGCAGATGAATTAGCCGTGTAAGGCGGCGGAATAAGAGAATCCATTATGAGGATTGTGGAAGTGCCGATACGCGGCACAGTTCACAAAGCTTATCGCTCCATATCGCCGTCGTGTGATAGAGAGAATTGCAAATGTTGGAAGTAATTGCCCACATTTACTTTTTAAAATAATGTTTCGAGCGATAACGTTTTCACCCCCCTAAAGTTTTACGTAATAAGACAATTTTGGTCTCATTATATTCAGTATACCGTAAATTAGGTCCGTACGTTTTTCAAAAAAATAAAAACGTTTTATTAAAAAAAAATGAAAACGCTCGGGAAAGTTTTTAAGTCAAAAATGTAGATATTTAGATGCTAATAACTTATATCGTACGCAATACTTCCTTAAAATAAAAACGTACGGACCTAGTTTTTCATTATATCTACGTTTCCAAAAATTATGAAGATTATATTTACGGGAGGGAAAATGTTATTGCTTCTTGTACGAAAATTTACAGCTTCACAATCCTTCTGAACAATATCTTGTGGCAGTCATAAACGAGAGAGAGAGAGAGAGAGAGAGAGAGAGAGAGAGAGAGAGAAAGAGAGAGAGAGAGAGAGAGAGCAATTTGAATCACTTGAAAAGTTGAAATGTACCTACGCAGTATTTCGTCTTTCTGTCTTTCTTTGATAACCTGAGTAATAGCATCAAAATTAAGCCATTTTCTTAATAGTTTAAGACTAAACTACTAGAAGACTTTGTTTATATAAGGTTCAAACAAGGCTCAATCGAAAATAGAAATGTGACTGTGATAAAAAAATAAACTAAAATGCGTTCCGAGTTGCGACGGAACTTGGTATGGTAAAAAAGTTAAATAATGTCAAATTCTTTGGAAAAGTTTTTTGTATGAGTTTATACGGTTTTGTTCTTTCACTTAAGTTCCGAGGCCAGGGCTGGACTGTGATGACTGTAAATTATCGGAAACTTTGTTTGAATTAGTACTTTTCGGGTTACCTTTATGATATTTCACGTTATTGTGGAGTGCGTACAATGCTGGATTCGATTTCGTTTAACTTAAAAGAAGTTGCTTAAGTTATTTTGCTCAAATTTTCTTTTAAAAGTTCCCTATTGACAAGATTAAAAGCCTGGGTAAAGAAGTAATTGAAATCAAAAATGAAATATAATTATTAATTAGGTATATACTCTGAATTATAATATTAAATATGTAGGCATCTCTTTGATCGTTGCCATTTAGTTTTTTGGTCGTTAGCGTCACTTAGCGGGGTTCGAAGGCTAACATATTTTTTATAGCATTGGGTGACAAACGAGCACACAGTCCACCTGATAGTAAGTGGGTGCTATGGCCCATAGAAAACCACATTTATCCTCAATTAAGAATCAAAATTTAAATGCGTTGTCACCCCTGACGACTAAGATGGAATGCTTCGATTCCAGTAAAAAGTGTCTCCGGTTCTCTATACTCACCATACGAAACAAGCAGTATTTTACGCTAGTATTCTGTGAGAGCGTGGTCTTTCCCCGGTCGAGCCGACCCATTCGTGCTACAACTATAATATAGCTGCAGCGTGGCTCTATCACGTACTCTACTTTACATGTTTCACTTCTAGCTCCAAATGACAGTGCTTGTACACTTGTACTGCTGTGTCTTGGTCTGAAGGGTACATAAT